CACACTCACTCTTGCTCGCTCTCTCCAGAGGAGGCTTTAATTGTGTGATTGAGAAAGTGTAACATCAGTCCATAAAAGCCAGCCTGCCTCAAATGGCTGCTCTCCGGCTGACACCAGAGGGACTCCTTATAGCCTGCTGTGGTGAGACACACACAAAGCAAGCGACTTAAAGTAGATACTTATTGTAAATGGGCCTCATTGGTCTCTGAAGACATTGTTAACATGTCTGTGGGATGGTTCCCCTGCCAAGAGGAAACTTGATCCATCTCCACATTTACAGAATTAAATTGTATTACAAGCTGTGACTGACTAACACTGCTCAAATTGGGATTTATTTGCTGCCACACGCATAATAGTAATTTCAAATGGACAACGCTGAAGGATCTAACTGAGCTCAGCATGGCACTGACTGCTATGCTGGTTGTTGTTTTGTATAGTGGTTCTTGCTGGTGGAGGAACAACAGATACTAGACAAATCCATAAGTAGCATTTTCTTCTTATTGTTGCAGGTCACTGCGCCATGTCCTCTCCAAAGACAATGATGCAAACCTGATGTAACAAAATATTTGAGAAGCCCAGACGTGTAAATAATGTATAAATGATACATCTTGTTAGCCTTGACTCACAGGTTCAGTCTTGTGCACCAAATGATCATCGTCGTCCTATTATCCTCATGCACTCTCTCCAGTTCCATTCCCAGTTCTTCCCACCTCTCACTCGGTCTTTTATGTTGCCCTCTGGGAGCCAAACAAAACACGGGTTTCTACTGCAAATAAGGAGCTAAAACACCATGTGATCAGTCATGAATTATTTGAATGCTATTGATTTGTATAAATTGTTGCATTTCCCCTGAGTATTTGGCTGTAAGAATATCAGTATCCTTATGGAAACTTGAGGGGAAAACGCTCTATTTCAGGCAGAAAGAACAGGAAAAAATTAGATGCTAAAGAAAAAAGAGATGCTAAAGTTTAATGAGTATATTTTATCTGAAGAGCAAATTGTAGCTTGGAGAGAAAGGGAATATGTATTTGATTTACAAGCATTGTCGGTGGATTACTGTTTTCCCTGCAAATCGGCACTGCATTTAAGGGTATAATGTCAATTTCATGCCTTTTTTCCTTCAACAAGAGGCCTCTGTGCCCTGTGGGTAGGTAGCACTTAGAGAATACACTGGGAAAAATAACAACCCAAAATGGAGAACCAACATATTCCCAAAACATCCCAGTCAAGTGCAAGCTAATGTTCAGCACACTGTGGTATTTTCATGTGGAATTTATTTATTTATTTTTTTCCCTGAAAGCCTCATTTAGATAGCAGACAAGGCCTTTGAATGCAGAGCAGCCTGTAGTCTCCATGGACTGCTGCAGCGCTGGAAAACGACCTAAATGAAGGCACCAGGCAATGTAGCAAACCACAAAATGCCTGCACCCTGCAGACAAACCAGAAGACTCTAATAAACAAACACACAATCACTGCCATTAACATGATTACAAGTTAAAATCCTCCTTCTCCTCATGAAAGAAAACTTTAAATTTTTTTGTATCAGGGGAAGAATCCAATTTTCAGTTTCTGCACAGCACCACATCTGTACAGTGCCTCTGTGATGCTGAAATCAGATTCAGGTATATCACTTTATTGCATTTTTTCACTGCCCCCCTGTCCCTATAGAACAAGATGATGATATTTGGAGATAAGCGCTGCTCTAAAAGAAGCTTTATGGTCATGGAAATTATATTAGAAACTAGAGCTGCAGTAGTTGCTTTTAAGTTAAATTTTCAAAACTCACTCTGCTCTCTTAGAGCCAAGTAAAACATTTAGACAATCACATCTGTCATATATTATGATTTTATTGAGGTGCAGGATGGGCCGCGTTAGTTTCTCTTTTTCACACACAGGCATTATTTGTTATAGAGGATGTGTTTTTTTATTTAATTTCCAATTTTTGACTATATAAATGATTTAGTAGATGACTTCCCTCGTAAATGGAAAAAAATCTTGGCAAACTTCCAGAAACTCAGATTTACATTTAGGATCATCTGGCCCTTCACACACGAGGGATTAGCCTGGTAGGGCAGGTGGAAACAGTGTTGTGGTATGTGTTGGAGGGAGGTCTCGTGTCCACCGGTTGTAATGGCTGCTCCAACCCTCCCTGTACATCCTCCCACTCATCTCTAAGATACTGACAGACCAAAGAGATTGAGACCATTACATAGGCTCCAGCAGCTTAATTCTCGTATTTATCATGCTACCCAAATGAGTAAATGCTGATGTTTAATGAGGGAGGGCAACTCAGTCCTAATTCACTCAGAGCTTTGCATCCCTACACTATGTCCCCCACATTCTCTCCCTCTCTCTCCACTGCTCTCTGTCTCTGCTCTCTTCCACTCAGCACACACTCATTTAAGTCTGCTGATGTCTTCATAATGTCCCAGGACATGAGAAGATTTATGGACAGTAAAGAATGGTGCTTGTCACCTATTGCAACTCAGTCAAGATTGTGTTTTACTTGTGGCTACAATGAAACATGTTTTGCCCACAACTTTGTGGAAATTTTTAGCACTCACAATATTTTAAACACAAATAAAAGAGCTAATCAAATATTTTTCAGGTTGGTTTGTTGAGTTTTGGGGATTATGTGGATTAATTGTTGCATTAATTCAGTTGATCACTTATTAGAAAAAGTAAGAGAAACATTATAGACCCCCAAAATAACATATAGTTAATATTATAGTGTAAAACTGAAGACTGAGCATAAAGATAAAGTTTTGAATAAAGACAGATATTTCAAAGTTAAAAGTCTGGTGTCTGTCCTTATTACTGTTGGAATTACGTAAAATAAATCTCGAATTACATAAAATTAATTGTAATAAAATATAACATTACCACTTATAATAATAATCTATTATAGTGCATTTTCTATTATTGCTTTGAGTTTTTGTTCTTTAACTTTATATCTTTCAGGCCAGTGTTCTTAAAGCCCACTGCGTCCCCTGTCTGTCCTGTGGTCGGCCACACTGCACGGATAAAATAACAAAAGCAATACTTGTAATAAATAAATCCCTGAATAATTAATGCATAAAATGGGATGCGTTTTTGGGACCCGCAACTGCAGCAGGAAAGGCGGGGTGTTGGGTTCGTGGAGAATGAACGGCAACTGGAAATATGATTGAGGCCCCTTTAAGAGTTTTTGGCCACTAAACTACAGCGACACCAGCGACGGTGCGTAAAGAGCATCCCTCCTAGATTTCTTCTGATTTTCCTCCAGGCTGCTGCTGACTGGACACCACATGGCTCAAGTCGATGACAGTTTTAAATCCTTACAAAAAGTGGAGCTGGATCGTTATTGCAGCTGAATGTGCTGGAAAAAGCATCAAATGTGGTAAAATAATTAAACACGGTGCTACACATTGTCTTACTTTAACTGGGCACCGTCTTTCATATTAAACATGCAGTGCCTGTGGCCCTTCTGGCCATGTTTTCCTCTGTTATTCTGGAGGAATATTTTGGTGAAGAATGGTAAATGAGCTTACCAGTTCAACATGCAAAGCAGCACTTTAAAGCGATCTTGGTAAACAGTACATTTATTTCCACAGATTGGTTGAAAAGGTCAGAGTCTGCTTTTTTATTTTCTGCTGTCATATCCAATAAGAAAATATATTAAATTACACATTAAAATGGCCACTGAACAAATAATCTCAAGAGAGAGAGAGAGAGAGAGAAATAATTTCTTCATTAAATCTCAAAGTTGGACACAGAATCCGTGCGTTAAAGTTATATTTCCTTTCGTTTTATTTTTAGGAAGCCCCCGTTGGAGGATTATTGCGTGCGCCTTTTGTAAAAGGCACTTTATTATGAGATAATACGGAGGCACACGACTGGGAGCGCAGATTTGCGTCTTAAAAAGGATTTAGGTCTATTAACAACAAAAGGCGCAGTTCATGGCACGAGGGAGAGACCCCGACTTGCGCGTCAGCCGCAGTGATGTGAAGCGGGCTCACTGATAAATGGAGCGACATCAAACCGAGTCATTAGAGAACTGAGATATGAGACTTTCACAGTGGCGGGCCGCTCAGGGCGCCAGACCCAGGGGATCACACTCCTCTCCCAGCCTTTTGCGTTTGTGTGCTGGACCGATGAACGACTTAGATAACGTTAAGCCATTATGGGCTCACTTACTCTCATGAAAATCCTGTAAACAGAGGGAACATTTTTTCACTGCTGATGTCTATTGATTTGCAGCCCCTGTTTGTAACCGGAAACCGCAAATGATTACAAGTGAATACTCAAAAGGGAGCCGAATTTGTAGCAGCCAAATATTAATTACAATTAGTTAGAAGAGCCTCCCGTAATTATGTGTTGGTTACTTTCCTTAATGATTTCCATTTTTAAGTCAAATGAATGCAGGCTACTAGTTTGTGGATAGGGGAAGCTGAAAACAAACAACTTTCAGAGGACAAAATATTTTTAATTTTTATGCACAGAATTAGCCTCAAAATAAAATGCCTGGGTCTAAATATTTTTCTCATATTAACGGAGTATAATTGAAGTGTGTGTGGTGTTAAAAGCTATTTAGAAAAGAGCATCTCGATATATTTGGATCAGATAAGCACTTCTAAACTGACTGGTTGAATCTCTACATCCATGCGATTTTAGACGGATAACTTGAGTGCTAACCCAATCAGCTGATACACCAAGGGTTACAGATGACTTATGGACCGAGTACTGAATGGCTTTCAAGCACACGCACTCACACGTAAAGTAAGGGCCAACCCCAACCTATATTTATTTGTATCTTCTAATCGCGTTAATTAAATTTTCGCCGAATTAATTAGACAGCCATATACAGCCTTCTCGCAGGAGCAACCCATGGTAGGCATTTTAATGACCCTGTAATTCAATTAACCGCCTCCATCAGCTCCATCATTGATTTGTGGAAAAAGAAAAAAAGAAGCTGCTGTAGTGTGCTCTCAAATACACAGTCACAACAGCAGGAGTGATCTCACCTCCTCTCCACCCCTTCCATCTATCGCTGCTGCCAGCCTCCAAAAAAGAGCGTATCCGTGAGCAGTACTGGCACACAGAGAGGGTAAGGCATATCACTGAGAATTCACGGTGGATTTCCCCTACCAGGACCTCTACTGAGCGACAGAGCCGACCATGGAAGAACTTACGGCATTTGTGTCGAAATCTTTCGATCAGAAAAGCAAGGAGAGCAGCAAAGAGAGTATCACGTACAGGGAAGTTTTGGAGAGCGGCTTGACAAGGGCGCGGGAGCTGGGCAGCCCGGAGACAAACCTGCAGGACATAACGGAGAGCAACCACTGCCCGGTGCATCTGTTCAAGGACCACGTCGAGCTGGAAAAGGAGAAACTGAAGGAGTTTAATGTTTCGAGGGCGACAGAGGGTATGGGTGTTATTTTATGTTAAGAAATGCTTCGTATTGTGTTGTAATAATATCTCAAGTTCCTCGGTTTCATGTCGGAGGCGCTTTGAAAAAACAAATTCGTGCGTAAAAGAGCTTAAATTAGATAAGGGTGTGCGTTCAGTTCAAGTAGACTAACAAAGTTAACCCGTTATTCGGTTATTCCAGTTATTATTTCACATAGCAGGAGGCGGGCCTATGGTCTAACCTTGTTTTAACCATTTGATGATTGTTTCAGACACACAGTCTTTGGCTAAATCAAAAAAAATCACAGCTACATTTCTTATATTTTTTACATTATGTTTGTTGTATTTAGTACCAAATTTACCCTTATTTTAATAGAAATTGAATATTTTGTGCCAGAACAAAAATATCAGTCACGATGCATTATGGCAACAGTTCGTCTCTGTTACAGTGTTATATTAAATTTGAGGAGGAGGTTATTTGTTTTGCATCAATTTAAAGTTTGCCTACAATGTGACTGTGATGTAGTGTAATATTTATAACGTGTACAATTTCCATACTCCGTTAGATTGTGCACCGGGAAGGAACTAAATCCAATTTCAGCTGTTAAATCCTTGTGAAAATCTGCAGCTGATCAAATTGGCCTGCCATTTAATAAGTGGTTAAAAACAGCAACAGCAAACAGCAGGACAGGCCTTCCCTCACTCAGCAGCCAGTGTGCAGTGGGAAGACTTTTAGCAATTTTAACTTGTTTCTATATTTATCCCGTAGCAGTAGCAGCCTGTGTTCATCTGGCTTACTCTTTTCATTAAAACCAGCCAATAATTGGGAAAACTCCTTCTGTGTTAATGAGTTAATTTAGTAGGTTTGTATATAAAATCAAATGGTTTTCAGTTGTGAAGAAAGATTCGCGTCAGTAAACTACAAAACAACTGCCTCATGTTGTCAGCTCTCCTACTAATAATAACACACTGATAATAGTACAATACAGTTTATAAAAATAGAATAACTTATATGATGACACCGTGCGAGACACAGATGTTTTAAGCTTTGGAATAAAAAATAAAGGCTCCTACGAGGACGAACAGACGTAGTGTTTTGTATTTAAAGCCTGAAACAACCTCAGTTTGCTTTACGGAGGCGCCGAGTTAAACCTGGATCTTCTTCGTTTTGCCCGGATTCAGTCGCTTGCACCCCCTGTCTGGCATGTACACTGACTAATTTACTTTTCTAACGACACTGACGTTTCACACTGACTAATGGAGGCTGAAAATGCATCCACAGGCCTCTCTCTCTTGAAGGAATAGCAATGGGTTGTGTAATGTGTGTGTTGCTGCCAAACTGCCAGGCCTAAGGGCCCTGATAGTGCCCAGTGA